AAGTCAGTCGCTATGTACCCAAGAGGTTTTTCAATGTTTACCCATTTTCCACATAAAAAAATAATACCTGTACATGTAACATTTGGTAGTTAGATTGTTTAGTAATTACAAATATGATTAACTTTTTATACTTTTTTTTCATGATTGCCCTGACTTGTGGCAATTAGGTCAAATTGAGAGGGATTCTAAGATGCATCTTCCACTGCAGTCAAATGCTTTTAACCTCTGAAGCTCTGACACTTTGTTACCATGACTTCCTTCATGACTTTCCCTAAAATATGACAAATCTACAGCTATGATTCACAGCATTATTATTTCGTCTAATGTTGTATATAAGCAAAGGTTCACATTCAATCATATATTACAGTAAACTTCTGATAATCCAGCACCTTTAGGACCCAGGGGGTGCCGAATTATCAGATATGCCAGACTATCGGAAGGGGGGGCTATGAAGGGTCTAGGGTGGTGTGGGGGGATGTCACCCCAGACCCCTCATAGCCCCCCCTTCCAAAAGTCCGGCTCTGCCCCAGGCGCCCCTATTCAGCCACTGCTGGTCAGTTTCAGCAGCAGCTGAATCGGGACGCCTGGGGCAGAGCAGCTGGGGTGCTGCCGGGTTGGTCCGGTAGTGCCGCCCCTCGGTGCTGCGAGACCAACCCAGCAGCACCCCCACTGCTCTTGGGAACACCTGGGACAGAGCAGCTGGGGTGCTGCCGGGTTGGTCCCATAGCGCCGCCACTCAGCTATCTAATTTGTCTAAATAATTTTAACTTGTACTTTTCCTATTTCAACTTTTGATAGTACCTCATTTTCATTGGCGTTTACTATGTTAAATGTCCAGTCACCACAAACTTGGTGGGTAAAAAACAAAACCAAAGAAGTCAGAAAATACCTCCACCACTTCCACATTTTCTGTTATTCTTTCCCCTTCCCTTATTGAATCTTACCCAGTCCATAGTCTTCCTTTTACTTCTAATGAATTTATAGAATTATTATTTTTTCTTACTCTTTATGTCTCTAGTTAGTTTTTATCTCCTTTTGTGCTTTGGCCTTTCTAATTTAGTTCCTACGTACTTGTGTTATTTGTTTATGTTCATCATTTATAATTTGACCTAATTTCTACTTTTTGTAGAGATAGTCTGGTAGCACTTTAAAGACTAACAAAGCATGTCGATGGTATCATTTGTTAGTCTTTAAAGTGCTACCAGACTATCTGTTTAAGTTTTATCTAGTAAATGTTATCCGCAGAGGCGGAAACTATTTAAAAAAACCCACCCTGTAGAATTAAGAACCAATTCAGGCCTTGGGCTATATCCAAAGCCACATACTTTGGAATCACTATTTGTCTCCTAGCCGGGGTAGGGGCTGGGGGGCTGGGAGCAGAGGATTATAGGGAATTGGAGCCATGGGGAACTCACAATGGCTCCTGGCTGCTGTGGTGAGTTCCTCCTGGCTCCCGCCCCCTATGGTGAATTTGAGAGCCCTTTGGAGCTCATCATGTGAAACTGGAAGCCACAGTTCCCAGTATTTGTGAATTTCCTTATTAGTGGTGGATGCAGGAACACATCTACCACGAATGGTGAGGGTTCCTGCACTTAAATAAACATGGCTACAATTCTTGGTTCATGAACCAGTGGAGTTCACAGTCTACATCCTCCAACCTCCAGTTAAATGATACAGTTTATAATATCACTTGTACCCTCTGATCTCCTCCTCAGATTGCCTTATGAGGATTAATCATTATCCCTAGAATAAATATTCTCCATGGGTGACAGTGGGCTCACTCTTTGGCTAACAAGATTATGTGTTAAATGCTGCTTTGACAGAGATAATGTAAATTCGCATTGGCACAAATATTGCTTTGGGACACTTTTGACCTCAATCATTTAATTTTATAACAAAGAGCTCAATATAGATACCTTCACTAATAGGCAACTTATGCAAAGTTCAATCGAAAATAAAAAAAGTGAGAATTTACATAAACCAGTGCTATAACACATTTATGTTAAAAATTTGCACCTCTTACACAGGATACAAGGAAAGATTTATCACTTTTAAAAAATCTTTGTCAAGAATCAAAAACAAAAGAACACATAACCATTAGTGGTCATGCTTCTTGATTTATATATTTAAAACAGGAAACCCCAAGCAACATGGGAAACCATCTTCAAAACATCGGAATATTCAGAATAGTGGAACAAAGTAAAACACAGCTGTAATTGTGGCTGCTCTGATGAGAAGTGGAGGCAGCTGGTAACAAAATCAGTACATGCTAACTATAGGCAGTCCCCGGGTTACGTACAAGATAGGGACTGTAGGTTTGTTCTTAAGTTGAATTTGTATGTAAGTCGGAACCGGTACATATTGTAGGGGAAAGTTTAGCCAAACATTTCTCCAGAGCTCAGTTTTATTCTCCCACACCTCACTTCCCTCAGTCCTTTATTCTCAAGCTGAGGTGTCTGCTGAGAAAAGCCGCTCTGCGTCTCCCTGGTCTGCTGGGGCGGGGGGAACCTAGCTTCGCGTCTCCTTGGTCTGCTGGGGGGAAGCAGCTAGTGCGGGGTTGCCTCACCCCGTTTGTAAGTAGGGATCCGATGTAAGTCGGATCCATGTAACCCGGGGACTGCCTGTACATATCTCATTCTACTCTTTAACAGAAAGCTATAATAAACTTCCACGTGGTATAGCCTGAGTAAAGCTTGGTTATTATTTTTCTATACTTTAGAGAGCTAATGAAATTTAAGTCTAAAGTTCAAAGAAAGTAAGCATTTACCTATCTCCAGTTTTGCTTAAAAGGAGATTGTGAATCTGTTCAGGTTTCAAAACATACCATATACTGTACATAGATTTTTAAATTGTTTAACAAAATAGAAGGTTTGGAATATTATGTAATCCAATCTTGAACTCAATCTGCTTTTTGTTGTGAAGGCTTCAGTGGGAATTTCAAAAGGCTTTTATCCATTGCTGGTACAGGTAACTCTAATGCAGGTAATGTCTACAGACAAGCCTAGTATAGAAAATTAGAGAGAAAGCATCATACTTCCTCAGAATAGAAAATGAAATCAAAAGGTCATTATTCATGTCTGGGTACACAGAGATTTTATTGAGTTGAGACTGGGACCTTTTACCTAAATTCTTTCTTACAAATTTTAGTGGTTCAAACACCAAGTAGAAATCAGATTTGAAAAACAGAAAAAGGAGAAAGGACGGGATCAGATACTTCACTGGAAATCTAAGGTGTGACATTTAGGGAGGGATGCTAACAATGGCAATAATCCCTACTAGCTTTTCCTCCAATAATGCCCTGTGAGCACTATGGAGAGCAGACAGACCCAATGAAGTGCTAGCAGAGAGAACATTATTTATCCTGTGCTGAAGAAATTGTAATCCCTAGAACAGGTCTAGGATAAGAGCGGTCTAGGATAAGATTGCATAAAGCAGAAACTCTCTTCAGCTCCCCTCCTGCTGTGCTGCAATTTTTGTCACAGAATCTAATCCAAACCTCTTGCTTCTGATTGGTTCCTTGCAGCCTGAATGACACTAGAAGAGAGGAACTATACACCTGCATATGTGGAGGTTAAAGCCCAAATCTTGAGAGTCGCTGATTTCAGGGTGATGTTGATGCCACAATGGCAGTGGCAATGCCTCATAAAAACAATTTCAATATACATGTTACTTTATATACCATTCCATATTTCTGTAACATGGCACATGATATGTTACCCTTCATGAACTGCTCTAAGGCATTACTTGGCATGGATTCCATGGATTGCAAGTAATATAACTTTATCATGCCCAACTGGCATTTCCAGCTGCAAAGAAGTAGGGCAGAACCAGTTCCTCTCTCTGCTCGGACAGTCTATCATCATGTCTTGGTTCAGGGGCAGGAGTACTAACAAGGTACACTGCTAATACAGGTTACGTACAAGATAGGGACTGTAGGTTTGTTCTTAAGTTGAATTTGTATGTAAGTCGGAACCGGTACATATTGTAGGGGAAAGTTTAGCCAAACATTTCTCCAGAGCTCAGTTTTATTCTCCCACACCTCACTTCCCTCAGTCCTTTATTCTCAAGCTGAGGTGTCTGCTGAGAAAAGCCGCTCTGCGTCTCCCTGGTCTGCTGGGGCGGGGGGAACGCTAGCTTCGCGTCTCCTTGGTCTGCTGGGGGGAAGCAGCTAGTGCGGGGTTGCCTCACCCCGTTTGTAAGTAGGGATCCGATGTAAGTCGGATCCATGTAACCCGGAGAATGCCTGTACATATCTCATTCTACTCTTTAACAGAAAGCTATAATAAACTTCCACGTGGTATAGCCTGAGTAAAGCTTGGTTATTATTTTTCTATACTTTAGAGAGCTAATGAAATTTAAGTCTAAAGTTCAAAGAAAGTAAGCATTTACCTATCTCCAGTTTTGCTTAAAAGGAGATTGTGAATCTGTTCAGGTTTCAAAACATACCATATACTGTACATAGATTTTTAAATTGTTTAACAAAATACGAGCAGACCAGGGAGACGCGGAGCAGCTTTTCTCGCCCCGGAGGACGCGGGTGGCGGGACCGCGGTGTGTCTGGGCGGTCCCGCCGCCCCCGTCCTCTGGGGCAAGAAAAGCCCCGTTCGTATGTAGGGATCTGACATAAGTCGGATCAACGTAACTCGAGGACTGCCTGTACAATCATACCATGTGTACCGCCTAAGAAAACATGAATAAAAATATCAATGTAATGCTTTAAGTAAAAATAAATTCAAGGAAAATAGTTTCATTGTCACCTGACTTATGAATCAGAAGGTGGATGGTAATAAGTGCTCATATTTCAAAATGCTCCACAGTAATAAGGTATCATGAGACAGTTTCTTTGAATTTAGGATCTTGCAATTCAAAATCCCCTGAAAAACTTGTATGAATTCTAAAAAACAAGGTGCAGCCAAAACCTTGCATTTCGCTACCAGAGTACAGGAGTAATTTCAACTTTAGTAACATTCAAAGAGACTTACAAACAAGCAATTTCTTACCAGCTGAATAAGCAGGCTAATTAGGTCTGTCAGGGGTTTATTGATAAGCAGAAGGTCTTCAGCAGCCTGGGTGTCCCCTCCTGTGCCAGATTTCTGTGCCTTAATGAGACAAGAAAAAATAAAAAGGCACCTTGGTGAGTGCTCAGCTTTGAGAAACAAGTAAGTTCCATTAGGTGGTACAAATTTGAATGGAAGTTCGAAGGAGGTGTTCTTATATTCCCTTTCCTAGTTAAGTATTCTGGGATCCCAATGAGAAGTTATAGTCTGATTGTGTCTGTAACAATAAACACAAAGCAAAAAGGACTCATGCTGTCACATCCACTCTAAACTGGTTTAATATGATGACTTATGTGACATTTCTTCTGCAAAATACGTACCTTTTGTGTGTGTGTGTGTGTGGGTGTGTGTGTGTGTGTGTGAGAATTCATAATAAAGGATGGCTATCTACAGTCTTTGGTTTTTGTATATACTCTCTCTCCACAAATATCTTCTTTATCTTTACTATATATTTTAGAAATATGTTCTGTGTCCATTTGTTCAAGAATTCCTCCTGAATGGTAAGAGTTTAGGACCACCAAATTTGATACGTAGCTTCCGCTTATCATAACTTAAAGCAAAGTCAGGGTTTGGTTGTGCCAGGACAATACACAGAAGAAACACTATACATTTTACATATTTCCCTTCTCTCCCATCTAGCTCTGGTCATTTACATGAGAAAGGGGTTTTGCTCTGAGTTACTTGAAATCCCCGTTTTGAACGACAAAGGGTACAATCAAAAGAGTTTCCACAGGAATTAGCTGGCAATATTTGTAATGTGCTTTGAGATCTTTGGATGCCATTACAGAAATGCAAAGTATTATAAGTTTTATCACATGCACAAGATTATAGTAACATAACTTTGTGTTGAGTTTCTATCAGAAGATTTTGATTATCTTTCTGCCACATATTTCAAAAGCTAAGTTCACAGGATATGCCTGGTTGATATTATCACTGATTATGTAAATTTGCATGAACAAAAAAGTGGATTTTTAACTATCATTTCATACCCATGACATTCTTTTAAATTCAGCTGAACTTTTTTAGTTGTATGAAACCATGTGTGCATACAGTCTGCTTTCTTTTGGATTTCCCCCTCTCCTTCTCAGTACAGTAAGATTTTGTGCCCTCCTCAAGATTACAAAAAAAAATGTATCATAGTCAAGACAGGCAAACAAGGCCTGCCAATGCAATTAGTCTAGATACAAAAGTCATTGTTTGTCAACTAACTGAAAGCACTAATCAGATCATCTTATTACCAGGAAATCATAGGACTAGCTCAGGTTGGATATAAAGAGACAAGCACAAAATGCAATCCCTTTGACTAATACCCTTTTAAAATTTCATTTGGGAAGTCTTCTAGATGGAGCAGACACATCTCCAACACAGCACTTTTACGTTTGCATTTAATCACAGCAAAAAAGTATTGGGTTGCGGGAGGAAGGAAAAACTTTTTTTAGTGCACCTACACAAGCAGATTTGTGTAGTGCACCTACACAAGCAGAGACATTCTGTGATCAGCCACCCGTTTCAAATATGAGTAACCATTTGTAAAGTCCACATAACAACACCTCAGTAGAGAATCACCAATGAGTTACATGACTTTATTTGTATTTTTTTAATATCCAAAATACACAAGGGGAAATGTTTTTGAAGTTTCACTGAGAAAATGTCAAATTAGACTATTTATAAAGTGAACCAAAGGAAAAAAAATCAACAAGGATGTGTTGTTAGTATTAGGGATGAGAATGGTTAACTGGTAGCACCACCCTTACCAGGTGATACTTACTGGTTACAGTTAACTGACAAGGGGAGGGGCTGCTCTAGCCCAGCAGGGACCACCATTGGTTGGGTCACTCCAGCCTAGCCTGAGAAGCTCTTGCCTGTGGTGGGGCAGGTCACTCCATTGGTTGCGTCACTCCAGCCCGGCCACCTGCCCCTGCTTAAGTGGTTAACTGATTAAACAGAACTTTATATCCCTAGTTAGCATATTGCATGGCACTGACTTCAGCTAGCTAATGATAAATGAAGGAATACATTTATTAAGAAGTTAGCTTATAATACATACAAGAACTTGCTCCAAAAATTCATTAAAGTGAATGTAGGTCTTCCCATTGACTTCAGTTGGCATTAGAGGCATTCAGAGATTTAATACTCGTGGTTCAGAATTACTAATGTACACATTGGGATCTGATCACATGGGAAACAGTTTGGCAAACAAAGATGTAACTAAAAAATGGGAACAAAAATCTACTTATAAAGGAAAACATGCAGGTTTCAGAAGTTTTCTGTCAAATGAAAATAGGTGTCTTTTGACATTTCTTGCCTGTAGAATCCTAATCAGGGTCAAATCAGCAGCTTTATGGAATCATTTTAATGTTTTAAAAACCCTTCTTTTGAGCTAGGATATTGTATTTGAGAGGCTGATAGCACAAACTTGGATGTGTGTCTTGCAGCACAAAATCAGAAAGGTCTATAATAAATAATGGTTGATGTACATTTCAAAAGAGAAATACATTTTAGGTGTGGAATAGTTCCAAGATGTGCTCTTGAAACTTTAAAAATGTACAGAATTATACAACGTACTTCAAATTATGCTGAACTGCTGAATAAACAACTAGCTTATTAAAAAGCTTGCAGTTCCAACCTACTATTATTCATCATAGGATCAACGCTATGTCCTTATTACATGTTCTGTATCATGGGAGAAAAATGCTTTGTTTTCATACAGCGCCTACTACAATCACAACTGTTTCTTTAGTAATACAAAGGAGTAAAATATAACCAAAAAAGGACCCAGACATATCCAACAGAAAACCCTAGTTTCTCGTCCACATACCCAATCTGTTCTAATTTTATTGGAGACAAGGTGGGCAAACTAATATCATTTATTGGACCAAATTTCTGTTTCACCATCATAGCTATTGAGATATCTGATGCACTGGATGACACACAGACTTTGAAAGTTATGGGGTAGGGGGTACAAATTATTGTAGCAGTGGAGATAAGTCTGCAGGTTTTGCATCTGCAGTTTTGACAGACTCCACTGACAGTTTAGCATGGGTCCAACACATGCCTATCATGTGTGAACCTCATCCAGTGCATCACATGTTCCAACAACTATGTGGGTGAAACTAGACAATCACTATGCTTTCAAAAGAACTCAGAAAGAAAAATTATGAGATAAACCTGCCCCCCATCTTTTACTGAACATTTTTATAAAATTTATCACTCTATATCTGACCTTTGAGTCCTCATCCTCAAAGAAAACCTGAACATTGCCTTCAAAAGATGAACCTGAGAAATACATTTCATAACTATGCAGTACCCTAAAAACTACAAACTTAATAGAGACACTGGTTTATTGTAAGGATGTTAAATATTGACTAATTGACTAATCGAATAGTCGATTCATTTTGCATCAACTATTTGATTAGTCAATAGGGTGAAAGTGCCACATGGAGCCCGGGATCAACTGCCGCTTTGAAGTACCTTCTTCTCTTCCCTCCCTTGCTGCTTCTTTCTGATAGAGGCAGCAAGTTGGGGGGAGGGGGAAGAGAGGGAGGAAGTGACTAGTTGACTAGCATGTTGATTATCTGATAAGCATTATAAATTATTCTAGATAGCTAACTGCAAAGCTGATTGTGAAGAATAATAAATGAATCTCACTAAAATAGATGAGTGGGTAACACCACAACCAGTGAAACTGAGTGTTGATAAATGCAAAGTAATGCACACTAGAAAACATAATCCCAACTATATAAAATGAGGTCTAAATTTGATGTTACCATGCAGAAAAGGGATCTTAGTGTCATGGTGGATAGTTCTTTGAAAATGTGTAGCAGAGATTAAGAAAGCTAAAAATATTAGGAACTATCAGAAAATAAATAGATTATAAAATGGAAGACATCATAATGCCATTATATAAATACATGGTATGCCCACACCATGAATATGGCATGCTGTTCTGGTTGCCCCCTTTCAACTTAGAAAAGAGACAATTGAAGGGAAATATTAGGTCTATAAAATCATGAATTGTATGGAGAAAATGAATGGTGACGTGTTATTTATCTCATCACAAAACAAAAGAATGAGGAATGTCCCAATGGAAGGAACAAATTGCAGGTTTAAAATGAACAAAAGTAAGTACTTCTTCACACAATGCAGTCAATCTGTGGAATCATTGTCAGGGGTTATTGTGAAGACCAAAAATATAAGTGGTTTTGTAAAAGAGAATTAGATAAATTCATGAAAGATAGCTCCAACAATAGCTATCTGTCAAATAGTCAGGGTTTCAACCTTATGATCTAAGTGTCCCTAAACCTCCAACTGCCAGAAGCTGGAACTGGATGACAGAAAGTGGATGACTGCAAATTAGTCTTTTCTGTTCATTCCCTGTGAAGAATCTGGCACTGGCCACTGTTAGAGACAAGGTACTGGGCTAGATGAACCACTGATCTGACCCAGTATAGCCATTCTTAACATGTAACACACTCTGCTGCCTACTAATCCTCCTTTGACCTATGATTGGAGAGATGTTAACTGCCCATTTTAAGTGGTCTCTTAGAAATGAGTTCTTGTGCTTAACAATTTGTCCATCTTGTATTTAAGTTTGAACACACTAGTTTTCTTCTCTTTACTTGAAGAAGAAATCTATGAAGTTTGAAAGCGTATTCCTTCCACCAGCAGAAGTTAGTCCAATAAAAGAGATTACCTCACCCACCTTGTAACTCTTGTATCCTAAAACCAAAATGGATACAAAAACATGGCAAACCAATTTTACTGATTTTTTAATGGGGAATTCAGTACTGGGGAGAACAGGGATAAGGCTAAAAATAATTTACACTGGTGACTACTCTAGCAGAAAATAGATTCCCTACCTGTAAAGTCAGACGGATGATATTCACTGTGTATATTAGCATGCAATGCAAAATGTCAAGCAAGGACAGCAATAATCCATTAGCTGTCTTGATAGTGCTTTTATCATCCACTTCTAAGTACACAGCTGCAGTTTCTATTAAAAGATTACAGATGTGATGAACCAGTCCTAAACAGATAGAAAAACAAAATAAATAAGACATGGTATCAGAAAAGAACATCAATTTGGAATTTAGCTGTATATAAGCAATAATGCCTCATCAGAAAGTAAGAATTTCATATACTGAATATTCATCAAATGCTTGGCTTTTCTCCCTCCACTTTTATAATTAACGTTTTAAAATAAAAGATTTTCATGGAGTACTGTCCGTGTAGAGCAGCTTGCAAGACTGGGGCTTAAGCTGGTATAATCAACTGTTATATATTCTTTGAGAGTTCTCTAGTACCCATTGAATAAACAATAACTAGTTACTTTAAATCAATGCATAACATGCTGGAAAATACAGCCTATGGACAAGTAATGTTTGCAGATTCCTTCCTAGTGGTCAACAGAATTAAGTGACTTGCCTAAGATCAGACAATGAATTACTATCAGAGTTGAGAATGGAACCGGAAGTCCCTGGTGAACTCCTAATCCTATTTCCTCCTCACAATGTCGTGATTTGTAAAACAGAATAATACCAGGCTTAATGTAAAATATATTTGATATAACACTGAACTTTTATAATGGAGAGAAACATTGAATATTAATTTGGAAAACTATTAATATTTGTTTGACTAACACTAGTAAGACTCTCCCTGAAAATGCCTTTTTTGCTTTGACATTTTCTTTTTGCTCCTTTGTAATTTAATGTTGCTGGTCAAAATACCACTTCTTCTGGCTGCATAAACCACAAATCAATGCATGTGTTAGGAGAAACTTACACACATACTAATCAATGTAAAATAAACAAAATCAATTCAGAAAGCTAGCCACCTTCAAATAAAAAGTGACTAAGTTAATTATCTATTAACTTTCCAATTAATTTCCTTTAAATTAAAGTTTCATAAAGAAAGATATTCTATTCCTCACCAATGAACACAATTATGTTTAACAATATTGTAGGATCATCTTGAAGGTGGTCATGGAATTTCATCCAGATTGAGACTTGCTACTGCTGCTGTAAATTAGTATGGCGATACTGTACTGTTGGAGGTGCAACTCTTCATACGAGGTGCTAATCTGAGGTCTTTCTTCCAATTTTCTGGTGGCTGTCCAGGAATCAGTTAAACATTTTATGGCATTACCAAAAGAGAATAGGGGACAATCTCGGTGTCCTCTCTTAATAGAATATTTGTTAGTATTTCCTCTCTCAAGAGAAGTTTATATGCTCATGTTGGCTTTGAGAGCCATTGTTGAAAACATAAAAGCTATTGTATTTGGTCACTTCACTGAACAGAGAGGAGTCCATGACAGAAAGGATATTTTTGGCTGATCAGTAAACCAACTTTAATTCAAATAAAGAAAAAAACGGAATTAATAATATAATATAATCATTTTGGGTATTTTAATAAATGGAGAGAGAAAGATGAAAACAGAATTATAGTAAAATTTTAAAACGGGCCACATCACTCCTTCTCTGTTAAGATTTTGTATACTTTTGAAATATTTTTGTGAAGATGCACAAAAAGTTCATGTAGGCCTTTTTACCATATCAATGTCACACACACCATTGACATAAAAGCCCAAATAAAAATGCTGCTCTTATTCTTAAACACACAATATAATTAACTAACCAATCAATTTCTGATACATACTGACTGCAAAAACCTGCAACAATAAATTAATAACAGTAAAAACAAACACAAGCCCTACACCAGAGTTTATCCCTAAACATTAAAAAATGCCTGGGATTCCACAGAGTCCACTAAGGCCTTTGCTATTGCTACATAAAAAATACTCAGATACTATGATGTTGCACTGCAGTATGAGATGGACCAATGGATAGAAACAAAGAATAAGAGCAGCACTTAACCCAGAACTTAGGGAGTTAGCCTAGGATTTAGGAGACCTTGATTTAATTCTGTGCTTTAAAGACCTTTGACAATCTGGTTCTTACTCTCTGCCCCCCAATTCCCTATTAATACCTAGAAAGGGTGATGTGATGACAAATACATTAAAACAGGGGTCGGAAAACTTTTTGGTCTGAGGGCCTCATCTGGTAGGGAAATTGTAGGGAGGGCTGAATAGAGAAGGCTGAGGGAAAAGGTGTCTTCCCAAACAGCCAGGCATGCCCCTTCCAAAATCCCTACACCCTATTCAATTCACCCTCCCCCCCCCACCGCCCGCTCCTCACCCCTAACTGCTCCTCCCAGAACTCCCACTCATTATTCAACTGCCCACTCACCGACCATCTCCTCCAATATAATCCCTCATGCTCCCCATTTTCTGACAACTCCCTGGAGGTCTCCACTCCCTATCCAATCTCTTCTGCTCCCTGCCTCCTGAGTGTGCTGTCTGGAGCACTGGGGCTGGCTGACTATCTTATTACAAAGCAATTTCAAAAACCAGCTGAAAAGAGAAGGTGCAGAATTCACCTTCATCTGCAAATCTGATGCCTTTAATCAAGGTCCCAACAAAGACCTTACTTGGATGGAAGCTACATTCAATGCTCTAATAACATTACAAGTTAAGTATCGGGCATTTACAGCCCACTCTATTAGCCTCATTTAGCACTGACACTCTAATTGACAATTTTCCCCCTTCTCTTTCCTTTCTGCTATTTATTTGCAACTCTGGACCCCTTGTTCCATTCATCTGAAGAAGTGGGTTGTGCCCACAAAACCTCATGATACCCTCTACATTTTTGTTAGTCTCTTAGGGTATGTCTACACGGCACACTTATTTCAAAATAAGCTATTTCAGAAGAAATACTCCAAAATAGCTTATTTAAAAATAGCACATCTACACTACAGCAAAGCCTCAAAATTAGCCCAAGGCAGACATCCCGAATATGTATGTGCTACTTTGATTTAGAGCCCCAGGAGGCACTGGGGAGTAATTACTTTGAATGGCCTTGGGGAGGAGCTATTTCAAAATAGCAGTAGTGGACCATCCACACTACTGCTAATCCAAAATAGCTATTTCAGAATAGGTGTTATTCCTCGTGGAATGAGGTTTACAGATTTCAAAAGAAGCCATCCGATATTTTGAAATTATTTAAAAATAACAGAATTGCTGTTTGGACGCTCACATTGTTATTTTGAAATAATGGCCATTATTCTGAAATAACATTGCTGTGTAGACGCTAAGGCGCTGCAGGACCATTCATTGTTCTTTAAGTTTTTTCACAGAGTATCTGTGAGAATGGGAAAAGAAGAGAGTTCTGTTTCCACATTACTAAAGCGTCAGAAGAGAACTGATGTAAATTTTGGCTGTAGCTTCTTAAATAAGCTGATGCCAAATGAGTGAATTTGCAAAGCAGAGTGACTTTTCATTCTATCAAAGAACATTCAATAGTCATTCTGTGTCTGGACCTTGGTGTATGTGTATAATGGGGAGTGAGCAACTGAATCTTCCCTTGGTGCTGTCGAGATAGCAAGTGTTTGTTTTCACGAGCAGGGATGCAAGGGCTAAGATGGGTCCTTCAGAAGAACAACTGACATTTCTACATTTCCAGTAATAATATGCTGGTTGGGGAAGAATGTCCCTTGCTTGCAGCTTTCTGAAAAGTCTTCTGTTCTTAAATATGTGAGTGTCCTTTCCCAGCCAGTCCACCTTGCTGTCAGTGAAGCGACTAAAGGGTCTATTAGTGCAGGGTTCTCAAACTGGAGGTCATGACTCTTCACAGGGTCACAAAATAGTTACATGGATATTGTGAGCCATCCATTCTATAGGGCTGTGGCAGCATATGCACTCCCTGTCATCGGTGTGACCTTATTCCAGGGAACGGACACTGACTCCTTGGCCATCTCTACAATCTGTGAATCTTCCATTGTCTCTCGGTAACCCTGAGTCCATAAGTGGCCCCGCGAGCACGGCAGTGAGGTCCAACGGCCAGAGTCCATACACACCCTCTTGGTTCAAGGCAGTGTGGTCTCCTAGCCAGCATCAGTAAATAGCCCTCAGTTCAGGGCAGGGTGGCCTACTAGCCAAAGTCAATGAGGTTGGGGCTAACGCTCTGGAACTCCGTGGGGGTTGCGTTGTGGCTGTCTCCCGGGTCTCCGGTTCCCACAGTTGGGGTTTCTGGTTGCAGCGGCTCAGAAGCTCTAGCTGGAGGCCCTTCTCCTTTACTGGCCCGCCCAGACTGAGCTGTTTGCTTCCTTTTATACTGCCCCAGCATTTGGACCATGCCTAGTCTGGGTGAAGGGGCGGAACTTCCTCCACCCATAGGGTCTTAGCCCCACCTGCTTCATGCAGAGTATGCTCTCCCTGTCACAAGGGCTGACAGTCTTAAGGTTCCATTAAATTGCCCCACCCATATTTATAAGTTAGAGGGGTCATATCCAGAGTCTTACTGTGAGAAAGGGTAACCAGGAGTCCGGTGGCACCATAAAGACTAACAGCTCAGGAACCCAATGGTTACAAATTCATCCACAGTTACCTGCACATTACTGAAAGCCACACTCCTTTGTAGCGTAAGATGTTTAATGACCTTACACAGTAGGATGGCAACAACTCCCAATGTGGATTTTCCAACTCCAAACAAACTCCCCACTGACTGAAAGCAATCTGGCATAGTATAAAGCTTGATTCTGATGTCTTTGTGTTGAAGATCTGGGGTGACCTCAGCACACAAAACCAGGAATGTATCCTTTTGCATCCAAGAATTCTGCAGCTATGGCTCATCATCTGAAACCTGCATTACTATGCAATCCTACCCATAAATGTGAGTTTCTTAGGTCTAGAAATGGCAATCCACTGTGTTGAGCTGCTCCACAAATGCCATCAAGAACCTGGATTTATTTTTATTTTTTTGCTGGGTGCGTTAGCAGCCAGCTATTGTATTTGAACATCTTCACACCTTCCTTGTTGCACTCTAGGTTGTAGAATCATAGAATCCTAGAACTGGAAGGGACCGTGAGAGGTCACTGAGTCCAGTCCTCTGCCTTCACGGTTGGACCAAGCACTGTCTAGATCATCCTTAACAGATGTCTATTGTTAAATATCTTCAGTGATGGATATTCCAC